CTTATTCTTGTTTCTAATTTCATAGGTCATAGGTAAATAAAAAGGTAAACCATTTTGTCAGTGGTGTTACATATAGTTAAAAGTATTGAGAGCCAGTAACACCACTGATAGACCATAAACTGACTTTAAACACAAAGATATTGTGTAGAAACTTTATTACTAATAAAAACTTGATCCCATTAAAGTCTGTTCTTTACAACAATTCTAATACCATTAAAGCAACTCAAGCTTCAAGTACCGGCCTCAGGAGTCCAAAGTCAATGCTTGATTGCACAATAGATTAACATGGACTACAGACCACTGATAGGCATATGTTGGATGAAATGGAAATAAAATCAAGTTTATATTGATTTCTAATGTCTTTTCAATTGATTCAACTGCTACAATAATGTTAGGTTTTTGAAAAACTTTTATTTAAGGACCTTTGTCAGCAAATATTTATCTGCTTATTTGCAGTTATTTTGATTGACCACAATATGCAATTTAATTGGCACAGTGTATAATAAATATAATTAAGAAAAAAACAATTTGACAGTTCTAGCGTTTTTATATTGTGCTAACAAAACATGGAATTAATGACACTTATTTAATGCTAAATATAAAACAATATCAAATAATAATTAAATTATCTTCTATTTCAATTTGTCTCAAAGTAGTATAAATGCATTGTGTCTAAGAGACATGATCTAAGAGACTATATTAGCGTCTTACCAATACTGCATTTATTTGATCAACAATACAGTAAACACAGTAATTTATTTCTCATTTCTTATTATTATCAATGTTGAAAACAGTTTTTGTGGCTTAATATATTTGTGGAACCTACACTGTAAAAAATTGCTGTAAAAAAAACGGCCATATTCTGACAGTAACATCCTGTTTTTTAATTACAACAGTACAATCCCGTAAAAAAACAATGTATTCTGGGTAGTATTTGTTATTTTCGAGAAAGTATCCTTCTGCAGTCGTTGTAGTGACAGCGTTCAGATTCGACACTCAGAGGCTGTGTTTCAAATCACACCCTACACCCTCATTCACTATTCCCTACATGAGTTTACTAATACAGTCCACCTGACAGAGAGAATGAACACTAATGAGTGAATTCAGACAGTGATGAACAGCTGCTGTTAACAAGCAGAATCACTGAAGAAAAGAGAAACACAAGAACTACAACTGACTTCAGCCACAGCCTTAGATGAAATCAACTGAAATAAGACAGCAGAACACGATCAAACAACTCCACAAACAGCATTACAGTTTGACTTTATTTCTGTCATATATCTACAAAAATTCTTTGAGAATTAACAGAGGTTTAGATGTTTTATTGAAAACGTTTTGTTTGACCTCACCATCGTGGCGATCAGTGTTTGCTTTAGTTGGGCTCTTGACCCTTCACTTTTTAATGCTAGCTTGTCTGGTTGTTGTAACTGTGTTTCCAAAGCACATCTGTTACAGCAATAAAAGCATAGAAAATTAATTATTAAATGGCTCTGGTTAATTATTGATGGTGGTGTAATCATCATTTTGTGGTCTGATTCACTGATCTCATTCAGTGGCTGATCTTCAAAAATGTAGGGTGGGTTTTCACTTGTTTCATGTTATTTCACTTGTGTTATGTTATATGCAGTTCAGCGCATAGTGAGAGCAGCTGAGAAGATCATTGGTGACTCTCTCCCCTCCTTCCAGGACATTTACAACACCCGTCTCACACGCAAAGCCCTCTGCATTGCAGGTGATCCCACCCACCCGACACACAGCTTCTTTAGTCTGTATGTGCTGTACATGTGGAAGAATTGACAATAAAGCAGACTTGACTTGACTTGACTTATTTAAGATTGCTATATGACACTGCAAGTTGAGATGATAGACAATTATGATGGATTTTGAAAACTTCTTATGTTCAAAGCGTTTAAAACTACGGCATCTCTTAGACACACAGAGACATCAAGAATCAGCGTATGAATCTCAACAATGGTGACAATCAAAAGCTTCATGCTGCAATGCATGCTGGGTACCACCCATACTCCCAGCATGCATTGCGGCATGAATAAATTATGCTGCTCAATTGTTTGTTGAATTCTTACTATGTGCTTGTATTTTTGCTTTTGTGTTTGTGTTGAGTTTTCGTAGCATGCTTTGTGATGTTCAGAACTGATCTGTTTATTTATTTTGTGGATTGTCACTGTAAGGGAAACAGGTCAAGGGAATCATTTAAGATTTTATAGGGAGTTTGGACAGAATCACAGTTTTATGGCTGATCACTGAGTCGGGCAGCGATTCATTGAACGAGCCGCATACCATCAATTCTGCAATGGATATTAATATCCAAAGTAGGCTATAGTGAAAACACTAATTATTAGCACAGTAACAAGATCTGCAGTTTAACACCTTAACTTGTAAGCACAAAACACAAGATACTTCTCTTTTCAATATAAAGACTTTATTGGATAAATCTAAGACACATAAACTAGTCTAACACATAAACACATGCGCTCACACATTCATACAAGTTGCAGGGACAGAGAAAGTGAAGAAAGAATGAGTTGCAGCACAAAACTCATCCATGACTCCCAGCATGCATTGCGGCATGAATCAATTATGCAGCTGAATTGTCCACGTATTTTCTTTAATTCTTACTAGGTGCTTCTATTTTTGCTTTTGTTTTTGTGTTGAGTTTTAGTAGCATGTTTTGTGATTTTCAGAGTCGATCTGTTTATTAGTTTTTTGGATTGTCACCGTTGTTGAGATCCATACGCTGATTCTTCATGTGTGTGTTTCATAGCATAATAGAGCTTTTTTGATTTTGTGATGAGTGTGATTTTTCATAATAAACCGCTTGTTCTTTTGCTCTAATATGTTACAATAACATGGCTTTGGTACAAAAAGAGACTCTGGACAAAATCAGTGAACCTGTTTTTTAAAGATGGTAACGTCATTAGCAAATCAAAACCAACAGCATTACATATTGTGCTTTGGCCCTTTTTTTATCACAACAAATGTGTTGAAAAACACAATGGTTAAAGCAGCCAATTAAAGATAATGTTAGAAAAAATCAAGGTTCAAGATCCCAACTAAAGCAAACATTGATCTCCATCATGGTATTGTCCCAAAACAACAACACCTAAACCTCTGTTAATGTTCAATAAGCACTTCTGTACACATCTGACAGAAATAGCAGCAGTCTGGTTAGTAATGTGAAGCTGGTGATGCTGTTTTAGAAGTTGTTTAATCAGATCTTGAGAGATTTAATGTATTTTATTTCAGTTGATTTCATCTAAGGCTGTGGCTGAAGTCAGTTGTAGTTCTTGTGTTTCTCTTTTCTTCAGTGATTCTGCTTGTTAACAGCAGCTGTTCATCACTAATGCACAATCATCACTTAATTAATCACAGAATTATCTCATTAACTTTAGCACTGCTTCACTCTGTAGTGTGGACACATTATAAGTGTTCAGTTAAAACTGAGGATTTTGTTGTGGGGTTTAAAGGGTTAAAAATGTAAGATGGAAAAAAAACAGCATGAAATGTAATTTAACAGTAATAAACTGTAATTATTTTACGGCCACAAGCTGTAAAAAAACAGTTACTTACTGGCAGCACGGTTGCCAGTAAATAACTGTTTTTCTACAGTTTGTTGCAGTTAAGTCCAGGAAAAAACAGCAATATACTGTAAAACTTAAGAGTCAGATTTACCAAATGAAAAAAGTTAATTTGACTTAAATATTTGTGAACATTCATAGAAAAAAAGTTATGCAAAGTCATGAACTGATAAGGAGAGTAAATATTGAACTGAACTGTATTAATGTGTTTTTGCACAAGAGAGATCTGTTAGTTTAATGTAGTTCCAAATGAAAAAAGTTAATTTGACTTAAATATTTGTGAACATTCATAGAAAAAAAGTTATGCAAAGTCATGAACTGATAAGGAGAGTAAATATTGAACTGAACTGTATTAATGTGTTTTTGCACAAGAGAGATCTGTTAATGTAGTTTTGTGGCTCACAATTGTGCTGGAGAGTAGAGCCTGTGCTTCAGTCAATGATGAGCCACAAACACTGATGTTCTGCTGCTTTATTTAAAGACAGTAACTTGATGATACAGTAATTATTTCTTTGTTACTTTATCTCACACATGAGTGCTATAGCTAAAAGTGAACTGCAATGATTTGAGTTAAAGTCATGTTTTTAGTTATTTTGCTATTACACATGAAGTGTTTGCAGTTTTATATCAAGAAATATTCCTTCTCAGTGAACTCAAATGAAATAAGTTCACAGTACTAACATCGTATGAATGCTAGTTTTTAAACTCTAACTGTTTGAAGCAATGGGAGCAGAGTTCATTTCCATGGTAGAATTATGGTAAAACACCGTAAAAAATTAAGAGTTGTAAATTAACAGTACCTTACTGGCAACCCTGCTGCCAGTAAATGATTGTTATTTAACGGCACAATTTTTTACAGTGTATATTACCATTCAAAAGTCAAGGGTTTAATAAAACAAAAAAAGAAAAGATAATGTTTTTTTTTTTCCAGCAATGATGCATTAAATTGAAGAAAAGTGACAGTACATACATTAAAAATGTTACAAAATTGCATATAAATGCTGTTCTTTTGAAATTTATATTCAGCTAAGAATCCTGAAAAAAAAGTTTCACAGTTTCAAAACTATTAAGCATCCAAAACTCTTTTCAATATTTATTATAAAAAGAACCATTATTAATAATAATTGAGCATTAAATCTGCATATCAGAATGATTTATGAAGGACTATGTGGCACAATGCAGAATGCCTCATTAATCATAATTCAGAAACTACTTTAATTCTAATAAAACATCAATGTCAAGGAGAATTCTGCTAATAGTTAGCGTGAGTTAACAATCCCCTCTGACATGACACTCCCTCACGTCCCTCTTTTATATTTGTTTTTGATGTCATTAACATTGGCAAGCATCTCACTAAACTGTTTGCTTATTTCCCCCTGCAGTGTATATTATAAAGGTCTGGACAAGAGAGGGGGACTTTTACTCGGTTGAAGATTTAGGGTTCGTGTCCATGTGCAGCATGAGAGAGCTGGTGATATTAGCAGCTTTGGTCTCAGCTCTACACGCAGCCAGCCTCCCGACAGACACTGATGTGGTATACAAGTGCCAAGAAGATCAGGACAAAATTGCTACATTAGAAGCTGAGAGCTTCATTAATGACCATCACCGCCATGGATACAAATTCAAATTTGTCTCACTGGACAGTCGCAGTGCAGAGGAGAAGGTGAGGTTTTGTCTTCCTGTGGATGTTGTTGGATCTATGTAAGGTGTAAAAGAGTGATTTCAACCACAGAAAAAGAAAAACCTTTTTATGATGTGCAAATGCTACAAATTGTCTTGTTTCCGTGCAGACAGATCCTTGTGAGGTCATCTTGGGAATAACTCTAGAGGAAACTGAATGCCACATTGTGAATCCCAAACCTTTAGATCAGTGTACCACTAGAAAGGAATCAGAGACGGTGAGCTGAACATCACAGATCTTCCAAACTCTAATTTCAGATTATTGCCTTTTATTGCTTGGCATAGAGTGACTTTTGAGTTGTGCATCCATTTAACAGTCTTTTAATGTCTCCCTTAAAGAAAGTGACAGCAAAATGTAACGTGACCATCTCCAGTGTTGAGGGAAAAGCAGCTGTAAAGCGCTACGCCTGTGAGACCGAATCAGGTAAAAAAATCTATTAGAATTTTTTTCTTTAGAAACTTGACTAGCCTTTCAAAGAACCCATAGTAGTGTTTAAGGTCAATTTGTCAAAGAGGACAGAAAAGGTAATGCAGCTCCTGTACGTTACGATTCACATAGTGACTGTATTTTGCTCCTGTTTTTGTCCCAGCTTCACATGAAATACTTGTGACAAAATGCCCTGACTGCCCCAGTCTACTGCCCTTGCATGACCCGAAGGCTCTGGAGAGTGTGAAAACTGCCCTGCAGAAATTCAACAAAGAATCGAATCACAAGTCTTACTTTAAACTGATGGAAGTGGGAAGGATCAGCACACAGGTGATATCTCTCAAACTTGGGTTAAGCTTAAATATTTAACGCAACTACATGAGCAGAAATGCTTCTAACGACACAAGCTCAATTGCATGCAACATTTCATTCCAAAGCTGTTTCAAAATGCAACTCATTAAGGCCTTGATATACTCATGGCAAAGTTCTTCTGAGGAAACAGCAGTTAAGAAGATATCTGATCATAGCAATGTGGATATGTTTGGTTGTTCTTTTGCAGAAAGTTTGCTTTGGGAAGCTGCTTCAAACTTGAAATGAACTCCAAACAAGCTTCATTATTCCACTTGAATGCTGAATTTACTGACTCAGACAACTCAAGGAAAAGGCAGAGACACACCAAACTGATGTCAAAAAACTAGCGGCGACAAAAGCCGACTGACTGTGTTTTTGCCTCAAGACAAAAAGTGTCTTAGACAAAAAGTTGAGCTTGAACTCACCGCAAAAACTACAGCCAACAGACAACAAGCATGTATGTTCTGTGCCTGCATGAGAGGAAATAACTCTCCAAAGCAGCAGGTGGCAGTAACCTGTATTCGCCATTCAATAAGGGGAACCAGAAGAGCTAGGGCTGTGCTTGCTTACCATTTTCACACCAATCTTGCTCACCACAGATGGATTCAATAACAATCATCACAGATGAAGATAAAAAATAAGAAGAGCCTTATGTATAGTTCAGCTATGAAACTCTACTTGCATTCTAATTTGTTTATTTAATTCAATGTTCCCAGCAGTCATATTCACATACTCATTACTGTTTACCTATATAACCAGGTTGTATTTAATTAATGCTATGTCTGCACGCTATGCGTGTCTTCATCTCAGCCCACCGCCTCCCCAGCACTAGATCTGTTATGGGGGATCTTCCTCTCTCTAGCAGCAGCAGCATGTTTACTTTTAATTCTATTATCCGTGCATTTAGCAGAAGGAAGTCTATTTGCTTTGCAGCAGCAGTGTAGTAGATCTAGTCTGCCAAGACAAAACCTATGAACATTCTATTTACATTAATAGAGATTTTATAATCTATCCCGAGAGTTATAATGACTGAACTATGTTTATGCTCTTGATTTTGTCATTCCCTTTCAAATGGGAACTCCACACTGCGTCCCCCATTGGTCGCTATGGGGAATGCCTTCAGCGTGACCGGTGTCTGAAGCTTGTATCCCGACAATAACAATGACATTGGCTGGCAACAGCCTGTGACGTCACTACTGGTGTGACTGGGGGCATAAAAGGGCACCTGTAAATATGTCATCCTCTTCTTTGTCTCCATGCTTTGTTTGTAGTGTGTTGTATCATGGATCCTGGCTGAGGAGTTTAAAAAGTGGTTAGATCTTTCCCGCTCCTCGGTCACTGACTTGAGTGAGCTGATGGATCAGGGCGTGCTTTCTTTAGCATCATCCGATCCACCAGATAGTGCTCTACTGGCCTCAAGCAATTCTGTTGTGTCGGACATTACTGTGACATAAACAGAAAACTTTATGAAAATGGTCATTATGCTCTTTGCTTGTAAGTGGTTTGCATGTTAACAGAACATTTGTCTGTTTTCTTAGTGGATGTTTTCGGGTCAAAGCATCTTTGCTGATTTTGCCATTATGGAGACAAACTGTACAAACAAGGAGGAAGACGCATGCAAGGCTTTATGTGGGGATCATGCTGTAAGTGCTGTAAGTGCTATAAGTGCTATGTAAGTTAATTACTTTATAACTTATTTCTTTAATTATTGTAATTAAGGCAAGACACTAGAGGCAAATTAAGTATTTTTTTTCAGGCCCTATTCACCTATAGTGTCTTGCCTTAACAGTAGGCAACTTCATTAAGTCCTTCAGTTCCTTCAATCTATGTAGTTTTGAAAACCTCTCTCTCTTTCTCTAGCGGTATGGCTTCTGTAAGTCCTCCAAAGTTGGAAATGAGGAACCAGAAGTGGAATGTGAGATTTACGAAGCTCAGGTATACATCTCAATAACATTCTCTTAAATTGGACTAGTAAAACCCAGTTATTTTATTCGGTCTAGCTATAAAATGCCTTTGCTCTATTTGTTTCCAGAACATAACTCATCCAATGAAACACCCTGCTCAGTCAAGAAAAGACTGTAAATTCCATGGTCCCCCACCAGGACATCGTCCAGGACATCGCCCAGGACATGTTCACCCGCATCGACCAGAACATGCAGGGCATGACCACAAGGACAAAATTCCTGGTCATAGGGACCACCCAGAACATCCACACCTCTGTCCAAAAGGCCCTTCAGGAGTTCCAGAATCGGCACCTCAGGGCCGCCATGAATTCCCATGCCATGGCGTTGTAAAAATACCCCCCTCTATTTATCCAATCTGCCCCTTCCCTCCACCACGTCTCTGCAGGGGCCCTCCAGACCTCGTACCCCTTGGTACTCCTCCACCTCCTCCTCAGTAACTAACGCTAAAATCTATGGAGGAACATTCAGATTTAATCCTCTATTGCCACGTTTCAAAGGGCAAATATTCAAAACTGAACAACACAAGAGTGTTAATATCTCTAGAATGTTCAGTCCAATAAATCTTCTTTACTGACCAGTGTGATTGAGTGATAATGGTCTCAAAACATAGTTGACATTTCTGAAATGGGTATTGCAATATAACAAATCTGCTGTGACAAAAAATCAAATCACAAGACCAGCTCTCTAACCATTAGGCACAAGCAATCCAATTCTCCTTGATCTTTTGAGATAAGATTGTCTGACGACTATAAGAAAACATATAACTTCTCTCTTTAGTCCTTATAGAGACCAATTGCTGTGGTGATAAATGCATCAACATGATCAGCCATGTTTTTGTCAGAATGAGAAAGCAGTAGATGCTATTATTCTTAACACCAAAAGAATTAAGAGTTTAGAATTAGGAGTCATAATAATTGTACTTCCCCTGACTGTGAAATCCCTTTCTTTGCACATGCTTCTCAACGTTTGAAATAAGTGGCTGAAGTTTCTGATATTTTCAGTCTGATTTTACCAATTTGTTCAGCATATTTTAGCACAAGCATTTGCATCTCATGTGAAAGGGATGTTTCTTAAAGGCACAGCAAAAAAAAAAAAAAAACTTAATTAAAAAAAAAAAACTTTCTTAGCTTTACATGCGGATGATATATCATATCATATGACCCTTTTAATCATACAAAATATTGTGTTCACAACATCTCTACAACAACATGGTATTTACTTTGCAGCTCCAAGTGGCACAGTCCAGAGATCACTGTGATGTAATGTTTACATGGAAGAGTTTAAAAAAACATGCAAAGTTTAGAAATCAATATACATGATGAATATAACTAAAATGTAGTGTTTATCACCTTTTTTAGTTATAAAATGAGGCACAGTCTAAAGAACAATGAAATCATCAACACGACCTCTGGGTAGTTTAATGACATGTAGTATTAGAAGAAGATTAGTTTATCTAAAAAAATTGGATCAAGAGATAAGGTTTCAGGGTTCATTCTTAGAAAACAGTGCCCTAAAATACAAACAGCAAAGTATCGAAAAATTATCTATGACTACTAAACCTAAACCGTACCCCAAAGCACTATATTATTTAAACATTCATATTTACATTTAGTCATTTAGCAGATGCTTTTATCCAAATGAGGACAATAAAAGCAGTCAAAACTAACAAAAGAGCAACAATATATAAGTGCAAATGACAAGTCTCGGTTATGTTTTTAGTCGTTTCGTGAAGATGTTTAAGGACTCAGCTGCTCGGATTGATTTGGGCAGGTCATTCCACGAGGAGGGAACAGTTAATGAAAAAGTCTGTGAAAGTGATTTTGTGCCTCTTTGAGATGGCACAATAATACGCCGTTCACTTGCAGAACGCAAGCTTCTAGAGGCACATAAGTCTGAAGTAATGAATTTAGGTAAATGGGTGCAGAGCCAGTGGTGGTTTTGTAGGCAAACATTAATGACATTAATAAACCAGTCATAAGTACAATATACAACAAAATACAATTGAATATTGTACAATTTATTCAAGTTTTGCATTCAGAGAGTAATAAATCAAAACCATTACTGTATTGCTATATACTCTATATGAATATTATTAGGCCTACTTTGCAAAGTGTGCTGTATTTGTCATATTTCAAATATGTCCTAATGATTCTCCATTAAATGTAACAAACACAAAAATAGAGAGAAAGAGAGAAATTGGTTTGTATTTTAAAACTTATTCACACGTACAGTATGTATGTGTGTATGTATATATATATATATATATATATATATACATATTCAAATGAGTCAAATGATGCAAAGTTTAGTATCCTGTTAATTAAATCATCAGGGACACGCATAGCACACAAATGGCATTGGTTTCTGAGAAAGACTCTCCAAACATTTCAGTGCAGCAAGATAAAACCACTTGCCTCATGTTGCAACAAGTGAAGTGTTACAAAATCATGGATTTGTATACATTCATATCATGGATTTGAATGGATTCGGGTACAGCAGCAGTTCACAAACTTTGGAGGTATTTGAACTCGGCATCCAACAGTAAACCATACAGGACTACAGCATGTTGCAACCTGCCCATTAATCAATCATCCATATGATCACAGTCATTGTGGAGCCCACTGATAAGAGTGAGTGTATGGGGGCTCTGATGTCGATTGAAACTGAATCATGTGTCAGTAACCTATCAGGAGAAGACAGAGGGGTTTGTGGCTTTTATATGACATATATATAAGCTTCCATGGACCATCTAGATTTTGTTGCTGTGTCTGGGAGAAAGACTGCAGCTCCACCATGAAGCAGTGTGTGGTATTGATGATGGTCTTCCTGTATGTCCATGGGGCCCCTGTGGACGTTTTGGCCCCTGGATCCTGCCAAGATGCAGTAGCTAGCGGTGCTGCCGCTGAAGCTATGAACAAAATCAATCTGGATCGCACAGAGGGCTACGTTTTCAGTCTTGATCATCTCAGCAATGTCTATCAGATGAAGCATGTGAGTCATTTTCAGAATCTCATGTTCACATGGATAGCATTCACTATTAAAAGAGTAATAGTTTAAATTAATGTAATTTTAATTTAATATGTTTCTAGGGATCCTATAAGGGAACACAATCCTTTATGAATCAAATAAAATTCTGGATCAACTGAAATTATTTGGTGAAATTATATTTTAATCTGGTGTCTTTCTAAAGGGACACAATACCTTTACATTTTACCCATAGATTTTCTACGTTTAAAAAACTAATTTGTTTTGTTTTTGTTTTAGGGTGAGACAGGAATTGTCTTCTATCTCACATTTGATGTTTTGGAGACCGAGTGTCATGTCATCAGCAAGAAAAACTGGAGAAATTGTGAAATCCGAAACCCTGAACAGTACCCAGTATGGTTTTGCTAATTCTTAAAAACCAGAAAATAACTTGTTAATGATGTTTGTTCTTCATTTTAACAGCCTTTTCAATCGACAGGTCTATGGACAGTGCAAGGCCGTTATGCACATGAAGAGAGTTCACAGAGTGACCCGCCTTTACAAATATAGCTGTACCGTGAGACCAGGTAATAACCAATGACCAGCCAGAAGTGTTTTATCATCATATGCTCACAGAAGTCAAATCCAATAAAATAACACTCCCTTGGCAGTGCCCGCCTCCAAAATCAGAGAACGGTGCCCAGATTGCCCTGTACAACTCCCTGAGGATCATGAAGCAGCCTTGAGGACAGTGAAGATGGGCATGGAGAAATACAATAAAGAGAGTGCCTTGGCAAACTACTTTGTTCCTCTGAACATTACAAGAGTTTTCTCTCAGGTGAGTAAGCAAGCAAGTAAATAAGCATGAAAAAGAATGAGGAAGTTTACTATTTTTGTAAAGCTTCAACACTGTATATGGATATGATCATCTTTGTAGCTTGACTTCGGAAGATTCTACAGTGTGGAGTTCACCATCCAAGAGACCGTCTGCTCTTCCAAAACCAATACTGCTGATGTCTCTAAATGTGAGGTGATGGCATGTGAGTTTGCGGTAAGTGACAAGACATTTCTGTAGGAGATGCATGCAAATACTGTCATCATAAGTTGTGTTTGTCTTTGCCAATAAAAAGGAATGTTTATCCCAAATGTTGCTGATCTTTCACTGATCTTTAGCACAAAGGATTCTGCAAAGCCTCTCACTCTGTCACAGCGACCGGTGAGGAGCACCTCAGTGTTCAGTGTGAAATCTTTGAACCAGAGGTAAGATTACCCATTTCCAAAGGCATTGAGTGTGTTTGTGATAAAAATAAACCACTTTTCTTAAAGGGGTAATTCACCACTGGCATAAACATTGGCTGTCAATGCGGTAGAAATATATATAGTGACGTGACGTGACATGTGGCCAAGTATGGTGACCCATACTTGGAATTAGTGCTCTGCATTTAACCCATCCAAAGTGCACA